GAATTTGCCCACAAGCAGCATTATTACATCTATATGTAATTGATTTTCTTCTGAATTTTATCTTGGTCTGTTGGTGCTGCTATAGCAAAATGCAGACTTGATCACTTATTCAGAACATAAATTTATTTCTTACAATCCTGGAGGCTGACAAGTCCATAAATAAGATGTCATAATGTGTGTATAATGAAAGCTACTGTCTGTTTTCAAGATGGTAGCCTGTTGTGTTCTTACACGGCCGACAGCAGATGGCAAGGGAAGATGAAGGATATTTCATCCTCACAGGATAGAAGCATAGAGACTGTGACCAGTGTGGGCATGACCAGGGCTGGAGAGGGAGTGACACGCAATTCAAAAAATAAGAACTGACACAGGCACACGATTACAAAAGCAGGCAGCCAGAGGGAAGGCCCCTTCTCTGAGGAAGGTCGACCTAGAAGGCTCCTTGCCTCAATCTTTTATTGAATTGCTTGGGACGTCAAATTATAGCATTTGAGGTGACAACAAATGTTGATAACTACATCCCATATTGATGTTAACCAGCCAATACTTGATGATTGGGAAGCTACAATGTGACCCAAGTGCAGAAGTCAACACATGACTTCTTCAAGGACATCCTAAAGCACAGAGTCTAATAGCCTTGGACTGTTACCTAACTGTAGACCCTCACCACAGGCTTTCGACCTTGGTCTTGGACTTTAGATCCACTGATAAACCACTGCCTGCAGAGTTTGACTTTGGTTTTCTTCACCAGCGTCTGTAAACTCAAGATATTCAGATATAGTCTGTCCTGTTCTTTGTCAAGTCACGCTGTTATTTATTTATTATTATTATTATTATTATTACAAACTGCCTGTGGTAGTAGAAGATCAGAACAGAGAAAGAAAGGGACATGCAGACAGAGCCCTGAGCTAGTTCCCTCCAGCCCTTTTAAAAGATTCTAATCCATCCATGAGGGCACAGTCCTTAGTGACTTTATCACTTCCCAAAAGGTGCCACCATTTAACACATAACCATGGGGACTAAGTTTCAACACATGAATTTTAGGGGACTCTCGGATTAGGGCAGGATTTACACAAAGTGGTCTCCTTGTTACAGAGAGCTTCCTGCATGCCATTTGACATGATTGTCAAATGCTGGCACATGAACAAGGCCAATCACATCTGGACATCAGAGCTCTCCTTACAATTTTAACTGCAAATAGCACATTGCTTTCAGATTTTAAAAAAAAAATCAAGTTAAGGTAAATACCAAAACCAGACATTCAGTAGGAAAAGAAGTTAGAAAACATGGCAAGTCCCCCAGCCAGGTGTCATGGTGTCTTCTCTGAGAGCTGTGGTATCCTCATTGATGTCATCCAGTTCATGGATTTCTTGATAAGTCCCCACACAGCTGTGTGTGTCCTCCACTCCAACAAAGGATCAGCATAGGGAATAACCCAGTTCACCATTCCCTTGGCTTGGTGACTGCAGTGTAATATTGATGAGGTTTAAAAATGCTTCTTTCTCTCAACTCTGGTACAGTCCTAACCAGCCAAAAGAACTCTTGGTGGCAGAGCAAATCTTTTTCAGTGCCTTATTTTGAAATAATTCTCCTTCTTAGTTTGCTGCCAGGGTAGCCACTATAGATCGTTTGTCTATTTACAGCAAAACCCCTGTGCCTTTATTTTGAGAAGTTCTTTTAGCTAAAAAACAAGAGGCCTGAGAAACAGAGGCCTCCCTGAGACTCTAGGAGCTGCTGAAGGGATGAGCGTCTCAGTCTGAAACTTAGCCAAGCAGCATCCCCAGTGCTGGTTGCTACAGTGTTAGTATCCGGGTTTTGTTCTGTCGAGTCTCTCCTTTCCAGGCCTGTGTCCTAGACAGAGGTTCACTCAGAAGCAATGAAACACATGTCAGTTTGGAGGAAGAGCTGCCCTTTTGTGAATACATAAACCACACCCTGTACTCTCTCTGTCGTTCTAATTGTACTATGTACAACATAGCCTTTAGAGTGTAGTGAAATCATCAACTCTAGTCTTGCCATCCCTTCACACCCCACGCAGGACTCCTGTTTTTCCCAAGCATTGCTTTCCAGAGTCCAGAAGTACCCCCAAAATGGACCCAGCGATATGCTGTCACTGCAACTTAGAAGCTTTTGTGAGTCTACCTTATGAAATATTTTGTTCTAACATAATGAGCGTGTGTTGTCCGGAATTCTTCGCAGTTCAGCATGCTTAGGCTTAGGAATTAAGTACACCACGATAATGCCAGAGCTGGTGTGAGGCCTCTTCTTGTCTGCTCAAAATTAAACACTCTTTCTTCAGAGTTACCCTTGGCAACCTTAGTAGATATATGAGAACTCTCAAGCTCTGAATGCGCAGCAACCTAAGAAAGGTGGTGATAAACAAATGGAAGATAGGGGTTTTGACCTTTTGACCAGGATGTAAGGTAGCCTGGAGGTAGCAAGAAGGTTGACCACCTGCAACCTAACTGCCTGCCAGAACATTTAGGATGAACAAGATCTTATTAATTATGTTGCTGTGTTTCTGTGATCTTCACTTTTGTTTTCTTTTTATAAGATCCTCAGCTCTTCATAATGATGAATTGGAAGAAACCCAATAAAACCAGCGTTTGGGAGGGACTCATTCACTCACTCACCTGAGAAGCATGGCAAGTCCCTTGTCCCCATCATCAATCTTAAACCTTGTATTTCTAATTCTTTCAGCTCCTGTCCTTTTCAAGCTTGTTTCTTGTAGGATTCTTGTGTGCTGGCCCATGGCAGTGTGTGAAAGAAGTAGAAACTTTTATCTGAAGTCAGAAAATTTAGCCAAATCCCTCTTGGTTGCCTACTGTCTAAATAACTTCAACGCCTTCCTTTATCTCTCCCCTTTTAGATTCCTCTCATAATATGGCAATGACGAGTGTAGTGTTTCACTGATTGCAACTGCATTTAAATGAAATACATGGAATCAAAACCATAGTGTAACCATAAGTTTGTACAAACATGAGCCATTTTTAACCTGCTGCTGGACAGATCTGCACACTTTGTAACTTAACAAAATTGATTTTCCTCAAAGCTTGTGTCACAGAACATAGGCAATAACTGAAATATCTTTTTTTTAAAGATTTATTTTATTTTTATTGGAAAGGCAGATATACAGAGAGGAGAGACAGAGAGGAAGATCTTCTGTCCGATGTTTCACTCCCCAAGTGAGCACAATGGCAGATGCTATGCCAACCCGAAGCCAGGAGCCTCTTCTGGGTCTCCCACGCGGGTGCAGGGTCCCAAAGCTTTGGGCCATCCTCAACTGCTTTCCCAGGCCACAAGCAGGGAGCTGGATGGGAAGCAGGGCTGCTGGGATTAGAACTGGCGCCCATATGGGATCCCGGGCGTGCAAGGCGAGGACCTTAACCACTGCGCCACCGTGCTAGGCCCTGAAATATCTTAAATTTGATAGACTTCCATTCAACAAATTCACCTACAGAAATAACTTACAATAGTTTTCTTTTTAGATGTTTATTTACTTTCATGCACTTGAAAAGCAGAGTGGCAGTGGAAAAGCAAGAGAAAGAGAAGAGATCCTCCATCTTCTGGCTTACTCGTTGAATGCCCACAGCAGCCAAGGGTAGACCACACTGAAGCCAGGAGCTTAGGTAGGAGGTAAGGGCCCAAGAACTCGAGTTATCCTCTGGTGCCCCCCAGGACACTATCAGGATGCTGGATTAGAAGCAGTAGCCAGGACTCGAACCAGCATTCAGGATGCAGGATATGGGCGTCCCAAGCAGTGGCTTAACCCATTGTGCCACAATAAGCACCCCTAAATTAGTTTTTACATACTGTATTACAATGTGTTTTATAGTATACATTACCTCTTTGATACTCACAATTTTTCTGTGAGGTGAGTTTATTATTACTATCTCACAGATGTGGAAATTGAGCCACAGAACAATAAAATGGCTTGCCCAAGGCCACACAGCCACTAATTGGTGGCACTGCAATTTAGCTTGAACCTTCCCAGCTCTCTTTGATTTCTTTGATTCTCGAAACTATAGCACACTCTTTTTTTTTTTTTTTTTTTTTGTAGTATTTGTGCTGCCGAAGCGACTAATTCCCTCAGGAAACCACGATCTTGAACAGAATTTAGTGCTTCTATTTCTGGATTGATTTTAAGCTTCTGCAACTTGCACTTGTCCAGAAAGAGAGATCTGTTCTGGGAACTTTAAATATCTACATTTCTGCATAAATAGAATCTTCAATACCTAACATCTCAGCAGGCGCTATTTGAAAGGAAGCTAAGGGCTTGCTGTCTCTCCCAGAGGCATCATGCATTATTAAGGAGTACAACACCCATCTTGAGAAATTCCTACAAAATATCATTCATTCTGCCTCTCTTTAATATTGCTGACTGCTGGTTATGCAAAAAACAGAAACAAAAACAAACAACAACAACAAAAAAAAACCCAGAAATGTTTACTGGATAAACCTAAGTATTATAAACATATAAGACAGGGTTTTATGTTTTGGAAAATATCTGATACCCATTGAAGTTGATCAGGTCTGAACTCAGTATTTAACGCCAATGGATTGCTGAGCCCATCACTGATTCATATAACAATCAATACAAGACTGAATAATGCTAGCATTTAGATCCATCTTGGATTGCAAAGGTTTCTGTTTGTGATTTTACAACAATGCCCTGGCATGAGAACAAAACACCACTCTTGAACTCCCTTGGGCTAAAGAATTTTTAGTGTCTCAATACTTCTGGTCTGACTTCACGGCTTTGGGATATGGCTCTTTGCTCACAAGTGAAGCGCGTATCTGATTGGTGGCAAGTTCTAGGACCACAAGACAGCTCTATTCCCATTTTTCCCCCTCTTTATTTCTACCAAGTACAAAAGCAATAGAGTGCAGAAGCAGCTCTCCTGTCTCAGAGAAGGAACCTACAACAACAAAACAAAGACTGCTACATCTCTGAGGCACAGGCGAAAAAGCTTAAGGCCATACTCCATCTGTCAAGAATTATGTCTCGCCCTCCACAGAGAAGACCGGAATACCATAAAATAGTAAGATACCTTTATAGAGAAAAATGTTTTGAATTGCAAGGGTTTCTGACTTATTTCGAAGTGATATTATAAGTAGAATTTTTCGGCGGAGCAAAAGATGTGTTTCATGGAGTCAAGCAGCTGACACCTCAGGGAACAGTATCAATGATCTCTTACATACTGTTAATAGAAAATAAGCTCAAATTAAATTTGAGGTTGACTTTTTTGGACTAATGTTATTTATAAAAGCTTCAAACTTTTGTGTCTTACAGAAAATATGAAAAGATTAACCAGTTTTTTAAAATTTCGTATTTCATGAATTAAATGAGTATAATTGTATTATGTTGAAAACCACAGAAATAGATCACCTTACTAAATATTTATAACTGCCTTTAAAAATACATGCTTTAGTCTTAAATATAAATATTCATTGTTGTAATTTTGGTAAGTGCTCATACACTCCAAATCCAAATATATTTTTTTAAACCTAATTATTGCAGATTTGATTAGGATATTTTTCTTTAATCATCTCTTATTACAGTTCCAACCTTTGAGGCGTTTCAGATGTGAAAAGTCATGGTTAAGTGTAAAGCCATGTTAATTATTTTAGCTGATGGGCATTTGGTATAATTAAGTAATTTCAGGCTTGGGCACTTAGAACTACTGTGACTAACAGGCACACCCCAATTGCAAATGCCTACAGATGCACCCTCTGGCATGTTGCTTTATTTTTCTTTAAGGATTTTAAATGTAATATATGTATTAGTTAGGTCACATTGTCCCTGAATCAATTGATATGTCAAAACATTTTTATCTTCATCTATTCAGTGTCTTCTGAAATAACTGATAGTTTCATATTTTTCACACAAGAAAATTATGGTTGCTTACTGTTATGAAAACAATGAAGATTAAATTACATTGGCCTTTTCCGGCATCCAGGTTAGGAATCTGAGATTCAGATGGACGTATAGTTTCAGACACAGTTCATGGCCATGAAAAAGAATGTGAAAATGAGGATTAATGTGCCTTACAAGTCAATTGCAAATAAAAATGTTTAAAATGAAGTAGTACCTACCAGACAGAGTGAGAGAGAGAAGCTTTTGTTTTACTTTGCCCTTAATCACAAATTGGTAAGAGTGTCACGTGAGTGCTCTTCTTTTCTCTGTCTTATCAAATTCTTTTGTTTTATTTTCAGTGGTAATAAACACATCATTATTATTATTCTCTCCCCAACTTCTCTCTGTTTTCCTACATTTCCCTCCACCCCACCATATATTTTTGCTTATTTCCTGCCAGGGAATTGGCACATAGTAGTGCCAACCTTATGTGTCGGCAGATGATTCAGTTATAATCTGTAGGTATTTCTTATGAGTGGCTTGGTTCTCAAAAGATTTAGATAAGAAAATAATTAAAATTAAAACATGGTAACTCTCAACATTTTGTGCAACAGTATTTTTTTATTCACTTTAGTTGTGTCACATCCTGCTTTCTAATAAACATATTACTAAACTCATTATTTTCCTATGTTAAAATTATATGTACTTAGTGTACTTTATACAATATTAACTAATGCATATAATGCACATGCATTTATGGCATTTTAATTTAGATTTTTCCATATAAGATATTCCAAATATGCTACATATGTATTTAGATTTTTCTCTATTCAAAATGTATTTAGTGATAAAAAAATACTCTGGCACACTGAAGAAGCATATTTGTTATCATATAAACCTATACACAAGGACAGCTTATGAATCAAATTATATATTTTATGGGAACCCTTGTTTGATTTTTTTGTCATTTTGTTCTTTTTTTTCTTTTTAAATATGAGTACATACTATAAGGCTCTATCTTCCCTCTACAGGCTAGTCTATCCAAGACATCTGGACAATTCTAACTTCTAATCCACATCTGACCTTCTGTAAAAATACAAAATTATGCAGAAAATAGAACTGTTTTCAGCAGTGGTTCTCTGTCCTATGTTCTCCCTACACCCAGTCACCTCTCTTCCAGGCAGTGCTTTCCTGTAAATACCTCAGAAATAAAAGCCATGTCACTGTGGAGGTCCAGATTCTGAGACGCCCTTCTCTAACAGTGGCTGGGTCCCTGGACTCACAGCATCCTCCCAAGCCTCGTTCATGTGTATGGGACCAAGAACATTTATTCAAGATAAGACAGTATTGTCTAGCAGAAGTTAAAGCAACATTTTAGAAACAGATTGATTGAGCTTGTGTTTCCTCTTTCTCGTATTTACAACTCATCTGTGCTAAACTCACTATAAATTGTTGGGTTTTCAACCAACACTGGTGCTGGTTTTCATTTCTAATTCACACTAAAAATGGGACCCAGTTTGGGGATTTATAACGAAACTATGAATTCTTCTTCATTCTCTAAGTAATACGAAGGGGGAAATCTTGTAAATACAGCCAGGCTTGCCCTCTTTGGAAGATCAGAGATCTATTAGGGATTGTACAGGCTCATGACAAACTTCATCCAATTATGCCTTCCAGCTGAAAGTATAAGCAGCATGTGTCAAAAGTCTTTATAAGAAAATAGGAACTTATAAATAGTATTTTAAAATCCTTTCTGGCCAATGCAATGGCTCAATTAGCCAATCCTTAGCCTAAAAAATGCTGACATGTCCTGACGTTCCATTTCACATTCAGCTCCTAGTGTGAGTCCTGGGAAAGCAGGAGAGGATGGCCCAACCCTGGGGAACTTGCACTCGCATACAGGACTAGAAGAAGCTCCTGGCTCCTGGTTTCTAGCTCAGCTCAGCTCTGGTTATTGCATCATTTGGGGACTGAACTAGCAGACTGAGGATCTTTCTCTGTCTCTACTTCTCTCTGTAAATCTACCTTTCCACCGAAATTAAGTAAAGGAATCTTTTTTTAAAAAAATCCTTCCTTCATAAAAATGTCATAAATTATGTAAGCAAATGCATAGAAAGGGATGTTTTTGTACTTATATGATTTAAGTTTGTTCTCAAAAGTAAGAATTGTTGCAATAATAAAATGATGAATAAAATTAGGCATGTTGTCTAATGCTGCTGCCAAACATTTTATTTGAAAAGAAATATAGTAGTATGTTGTTGTAACTTTGCTTGTCACATAAAATTATCTGTTTTTCTGCAGAACAAAGATCTCTTTGTCCTCACCTATGGAGCTCTGGTTGCCCAACTGTGTAAGGATTATGAGAAAGATGAAGATGTGAACAAATATTTAGACAAAATGCAAGTAGGAGTCTTTCATCCTTGTACGGTGTCTGTTGTTTGTTAATGTCATTTGCATTTTCCCACCTCTGCTGGCTTCACTGGCTCTTCTTCCACTTCAGTGACTCACATCTCAAAGCTGAACGCAATTTCTTAGAACTGCCGTTTAGCTTGATAGCACAAAGTAATAGGAAGGAATTTCATGTGCCGTGAATATGAAGTGTGAAATGTTTGCCTTTTACTTGAAATCATTTCTTGGCCAGCCATTTTCAAGCAAAGGATGAAGAAAAACTGAAATTGTAAATTGTTCTTTCAGAATATGGTGAAATATCTAGTTTGACTCTTCAGGAGTTTTTTTATTCTAACATGACTCCCTTCTCACAGAAACATAGGATAAACACTACATGGGGAAATATGTGAAGAATTACTGAGGAGGAAGACTGAGAGCAGATTACACAGGCTAAAGGAAATTTCTTTTTTCCTATAGCACTGTGTTGTTTTTGAAATTTTTTTTACCATTACTGTGCTTGCCTTCTTAAAAAAATTAAATATAAAAGTCCACTCCTTCCTGTTTAAATAAAACCCGTCTCCTTATCTTTGCTAATGAAGAGCCCTCCTACACAAATTCAATCCTTTAATTTTCTCAAAATAATTATATGATCATCAGATTACTGCCCAACAAAAATAAAATACCTGTCAATATTTTTTGAACCTCTTAATTATGGATCCTGACTTTAACAATGACTGGAAAATATGTACGACTTTGGCAGTTTGAAGAGGAAATTTCGTCTGGTTTTTAAAAGCTTTTTAGAATAGTTCATTGTGTTTCCAGCTAGAATCCTGAAAAAAACCATGAAAATCTTTTTTATGTTTTCTCTCTTATTGACTATGTTTTCTTCCCTTTCTAGGAGCTTAGTCACCTTTTTCCTTTTAGGAAAGTATTTTTGCTATTTATGTATTTGCTAGTTTATTATGTTGCATTTCATCTAAAGCGGTGAGAAGCATAAACATAAACCTTCACACTCCTTCACTTACGGCGTGGGCAGCTACTTCGTCCCCTAACTTTCTTTAGCTATGGAAGCTATTAAAGTGTCTAACAGCGTTTCTAATATTTATCCCATCTTAGTTTACTGGTGTTAAATTTACATTGTTTGTAGAATAGTAGTGGAAAACAAAGAAAATTCATTTATTTGACTTAAAAAGCCATCACTGGTTAGCTAATTGAGTGTTAGCTAATTAATGTTTTAACAAACATTAATCGAAGAGTAAGATATTGGGGGGCTGCAGATAGGATTTCTTTAGTAGTTTCTATGGAGAAGTGAGAGTAAGGCGTTGTTACACTGTCTCAGAAAAACGTTTGCAGAACTGTGCGTCAGGTACAGCTTAAACTTTTCTAATTAGTGGAGTTACTGGGTGATGCGATTGTCTTCCCCCACCTCCTATAGTTTGCGTGTTTCTGTAATGACACAAATTGACTAGACCTGACTTTTTCCCCTGTAAACAACAAAGTCCTAGCTACCGAAACCTTTGCTGTCAACAGAACAATGACTTCTCTATTCCCTTCTTCCCCTCTCTCCAAAGCCCATCCTGACAATGCCTGCACTTCCTCTGTGATAACCGTGCTCAGAGGAGAATAAGCATCAAATACCACACCTAGGGCAGACAAGTTAGCTACACTGTCATTCGGGTTTGTCCATGGCAAATGATGAGAAAGCCTATTACCCACGGGAAACACTAGGCTATGGATACCTGTCTTCTTTATTTTTAATTAGCAAAATTAGACTTAATTCAATCTCTTTTCTAGCCAAATGACTATTACGTGGATCAGATACTATTTCTCCGCTTTGGCAGTCTGCCCACTTCCAAAGGTTGTCACTTTGGGTTTAGTTTGTTACTTGTTTGTGCAAATGCTGAACCTATGGAACAATTCTTCAGTTGAGAGACTTTACTAATTAGTGAGGCATTGTTTTCAGACAGCGCTCTTCTTGATGCACAGGGGTTACGGCATTGGAACAAGGCTGATAGAAGACTTCCTGGCTCGGTCCTGTGTGGGACGATGCCACAGTTATTCAGAAATTGCTGACATAATTGCCCAGGTAAGTGCATTTTTTTTTTACTCTGACAGAATGTTTTGAAAATCTTTGATTCTTTCTGAGCTTAAGAATTTTCTACTGTGATTGGACAGGTTCCATCTGTGCGTGGCATGGGGTGCTGAGAGAGGCGGTTGTGATTGAAAAGCATTTTATTTCTGCGCGTAAAGCATTGTGAGCTGAAAGGGAAATGCTTTCAAGCATTTGAGTATCCCTAGATTTTCCTGACCACATGATGTGTTTGGAGAATGCCTCACTGTGAGGAAAATATCCTGGGGAAAGTAAACAAAAGAAGAGTATAACAAAGTAACATGTTAATGTGTGTGTTCCAAATCAATCTCTTCCTGTAGCTGTTTCCTTTGGAACGAAGGCAATAGACTTTGGCACTGCCGGAGAAGGCTATGTGGTCATTCCCACGGGAGCATGTCCCCAGGGGAAAATACAGCTCCCCATAACTGCGTCCACTCGAAGATGTTTTGACTGCCCTGATAGAGGAGAAACAACTTGGAATCATCCAGGACTAGCTCAGATTTCTTAGATGCTCAATTGGGAAACAGATCCGTAGTCAGTATTTCTTTCATCTGAAAACAACTGGTTGTTTACTCAGTGTTTTTAATTTATGGAGGAAGCATGCTCGGGTTTGAGATATTTAGGAGAACTTGGTATGTTGCCTCCAGATTCACACAGCTAACCAATGAAGTCAGCTGTGTTCTTTGTCTCTGATCTGTCATATAAACATGGCCAAACCGACTCGCATGTGAATGGTAGGATATCACTCAGTAGTGTTTTCTGGTTTTAAACGTCTTTTATTCTTTTATTGTCACAGTAACCCTCTAAAGTAGATGGATAAGAAAATGGATAGCAAAATAAGGTTATGAAAATTAAATAATAGTGTGTATGGAAAAAGAATAATCCAAATGAAAGATTTTTCTACTCATTTATTTTACTGCTTTTATTGATTCACGCCTGGTGAGTTATAAGGTTGGAATTGGAGGCAGGTGTCCTCCAATCTTAGGCAATGACTTTTATCCTAGCTCTAAGCAGGTTAAAAAAAAAAGCAAAAAAATCCTTTTAATATTTACAGAAGTTGTTTGAAAAATAAATTTTTTTACCAAACCAATTTTTTAAAAAAGATTTATTTATTTATTTGAAAAGCTGAGTTAGAGCAGGAGAGGAGAATACAGAGATAGAAGTCTTCCAACCAGTAAGGCTCACCCTCCTGAGTGATCTCAACGGCCAGGGCTGGGTCAAGCTGAAACCATGAATTGGAAGCTTCACGCAGATCTTTCACATGGGTGCCGGGGTCCTAGCACCTGAATGATCTGCTGCTTTTACCAGGACGTTAGTAAGGAGCTGGATTGGAAGCGAAGCAGCAGGGACTTGAACTGTTGCCCATATGGGATGCCAATGTTGCAAGTGTCAGCTTAACCCACTGCAATACAATAATACCAACCGCTGAAACAATTCTATAGGTAGTAATGGAAAGTGAATAGTTGAAACACGTAAATGGAAATGATTGAGTTATGTTGATTTTTCTATTTTGCAGATCCCTTGGGCCTTTTGTTGATCAGGTCCCAGTCTTCCTGTAATATAAAATACATTTTAATCATAAAAATAAAAGGAAACTGGGGTTCTCCAGTAGAAACAAAGTCAGCACAAGCAATTACTTTCACACATATTATGAGCTTCAAAATACATACTAACAAATGGTCCCCAATCATTAACCCCAGAAGAGGCTAAGGCAATGGAAGTCTCCATCAAATGTTCTTGTTATCTGGGGTCTTCAACCAGAATATCCTTAATGACTTGTTAGCTACAGGGAGATACAAAGCTGAAAGCCAAAGTAAGTAGGCCAATGTGAAGAATATGTTTATTTGGGGCCCAACGTTGGACTTGTTACTTGATAATATTCAACAAAAATTTATTTTTAACAAAAAGGACAGAAAGGGAAAAAGAGGACAGGAAGAAATGAAAAAGAAGGGAAGAGGTGACAAGAATCTTTTGTGCAGATCCCTTGGAAAGACAGGTGTTCTTCAGCCCTGGCCTGGAGGCGCTGTACTGGCAACCCTGCTCAAATAAGGCTTCTTGAGTCCTTTCTTGGGGAAGATATGCACTTTACCTTGCAATGAAAAAGAGCAACACTGCTTCTATACTCTAGATTGAAAAGATTGAAGAAGAATCCAGTGTATGAGAGATAGGAAAGACTCATATCCCAAGTGACTACATCACTCTCAGTAATGGCATCCATAAAATGGGCTAATGACGGATGCATTTTTTGCTTCACAAAGTTCTTGTAGCAGAGACATAGATAATAGGTGGAAATTACTTTGAACTTTGATGAAGAGATTTCTGTATTAAGTTTTTCAATATCATACTAAAATGCTGCAAGCAATGTTAATAAATCTTATTTCACACATACTATTTAATATCTGTAGCTGCATTTTGAGCTAATTACCACAAAGCGTAAACTTGGATATGATAAAAGCATATTTTAAAAATTGATAGAGGTGCAGGCATTTGAGGAAGAGGCTAAGCACCACTTGGGACGCCCACATCCACTTGTTAGGATGTCTGGTTTCGAGTCCAACCTCTGCTTCCCACCCAGCTTCCTGGTAATCCACAACCCATGAGACAGCAGGTGAATGGGCAAGTACTTGAGTCCCTGCCGCCCACATAGAAAACCTGGATTGAGCTCTGGCCTTTAATCTGACCCACATCAGGCTGGTAGTGTCTACAAGAGTGAACCAACAAAATGAAGATCTCTGTCTTTGGAACAAATTGAAAATAAACAAGCCCTAAAAGCTGAAGGGTTTTAAATGTTGCAAGAAGTCAACTTTAGAATGAACGTGTTATCTCATTTTGTATGTAAAATGACAGGTAGTGACTGGCAATTACTTCCATCAATGTTTGGGCCTCTGTCGCTGGATTTCTTTCAGACCACTAGATGGCAGAATTTGCACTGTAAGGTCTGTTGAAAAAGGGTTTGTCAGGGTCCTTGTGATAGCTAACCTCTCCAATGGAAAACCCAAAGTACAGAAAGCAAGGAACTTCAGGATCATAAGCGAAGTCTGAAAAGCTCCTCTCCCAAAGCTCTGGAATGCAAAGTGAAGCGAAAGTCCAGAAGGCCTGTTCCTTCCTTTGGTCTTTGGATGACTTTTACTAACTTCTATGTGAACTTACCTTTTTCGTTGTTGTTCAGTCAGCTCTTTTCAAAGGCCCATCCTTTCTTTCTTCTATGCTTCCTTCCTTCAATTCACTCATTATTTTTCCTCCTTCGTTTACAAGAGAACAAATCTATTATTATTTATTAACTTTGCAATAGTTTAAATCCTTGAAGGGTACAGTGTCACACAGGAAGGTTGCATTGGGATTTGGAATGAGCTATGCCTCTGTTTACATGAGCACGTTACCCCTTCACACATTACTCAGCTGTTGCTGGGTTTATTGTTAGCAGTCACTGTGCTATTCTTTGGTCTGAACAGGTAAGTACATCTCTCAGCTAAACAGATTTCAGTTCTGGCTCAGGCATTAACACTTTTAGCTTTAGGAAGAGCTGTGTGTTCAGTTTAATTTGGGAGACTTCACTTTACCAACAAAAACAAATGTCCTGCACCACAGACTTCCAGCAGTACTTGCTTGTAGAAGTCTTGTCCCCAAGAGGCCTCCAAGATGGCAAAAAGAGCTCTGAGGCCTTCTCTTTCTCTCTTTCCATCTCTGGACCCAGGACAAAGATTAGGAGTTATGTGGAATTCATGGAGTACAGGTGCTCGGTACTTGAGAAGGATGATGGTGGTGGTCCAGTTAAGTCCACGGTCTTCTGAGACAGTGGCCAAACACAGTGGACAGCTTCTCCGCTCTGCTCCTCTGCTATGCTTGGAGGGCAGCGCAGGACAGCAGGAGCTTCCTGGGCCTTGGCCTTCATTCTCTGTAAAACTGATACTGTGACATTTGACACCTGCCTCTGTGTGAAGAATTTACAAGCGCTAATGAGATAATGCTGCCAAAGGCCAGACCTTTTAATGAAAGCTGCTAATTACAAGCATAACATCTGTGGGTGGGTACCTAACTAAAACCCTTAATCTGTGTCAGAATGCGTCTGAAATAGGTGACATCATGGCCACTTGTAAAAGCCATTTTTGCTGAAATGCGAATGATTCAGGGCTTTTGGAAGAAGAAGGTAGAACTAGGAGACAATAGCTCTGTATAGAGAAAACAAAGGCCAAAAGAGTGTCTTTTTCATAGACTAGAAGGTATCTAGCATAAAAGTGCACATGTATCTTTTTCTCAGCTCAATGATTTCAGGAAACACAACAGAGTTTTCCTGAGAAAAAAATTGTAGTTGCCATAGATGAAAGTTTGTAATTTGTAATAGAGTTTAGCACAGCTCATCTTAGTGGCAGTAATGAAAGCTAGAGAATTAGACTTATTTACAGATGTGTATGTCTTTCCATTTATTTTAGTCACATATGTATATATATACATATCCACAAACACTTAATGACAAAACATTTTTATTAAACATATATTTATATATATGATCCGTTTAGACTAGAATTGGCTCTACATAGAAGAATTCCAGCAAATCATACCAATCATGTCCTTTCAATCAAACCAATCCTATTTTTAAAAATTGTCTGTTCAGGATTTCTATGGCCAAATCTATTTGAGAAATTCAAACACCAAGAATCTAAATTCTAGAGTCATTTTGGAATGGAGACTGCACCATGGTCATAGAATTTCAGTCTTCGATATAGACCTTTATTTGGAAATATTGATTGGACATGTAAGTATGAACATACAAATCCAATGAGTTAGACATTTTCAAAAAGATGGCTATAGCTTGAACGGCAAACCTGTGAGTGTCCAATCAGGAGACAGATCACATACTTTAATTTCAGCAAAGAAGGTGATGAAAAAAAGGAGGTAAGTAGAGAAAAAGAAGGAGGGAGAGAAGGAAGGAAGGAAGGAAGGAAGGAAGGAAGGAAGGAAGGAAGGAAAGAAGGAAG